ATGTGGGTCACGCTTATTTTGCACTCTCCTTTACAGTTGCCCCCCCACCCCACCCCCACAAATCATTTTCCCTACAGTGTGTGTTTTGTGTTTGTGTGTGTGTGTGTGTTTTGATAGTGGTGGGAATTGAGAGGTGCCCATCACAGTAGTTGTTCTTGAAAAAAAATATATTGTGTTTTAATTTAAGTTTATGGCATGAATTGTTTGTAAATTCAAGATGGGTTTTTATTTCTATTCTTGTTATGTTGCTTTTTCGGGGTTCTCCGAAAAAAAAAACCGTTTTTTTTTTCTTTTCGGGGTTGGTTGGTTAAGGATTGGATTCTAAGCAAAGTTTGATTTGTTCACATATCTATCTCGACAGTTGAGCTTTGAAAGAGCATTTCTCTTGCATTATTAATATTCTTCTCGAACCGTTTCTGATCTTGTAATCATATGTATTTGTGGATGCAGTTCAAGAAAATCGAACGGTGCTTGATGTATAGAGATGGAGGGGGATTTTAAATTTTGAAATTCTGGTGGCTGAAATCAAGGTTTTATTAGTGTACGTTTGGGTTTGTTTTTTTTGGCGGTTAGATGGATCGAAGGAGTTGGCTATGGCGGCGAAAATCGTCGGAAAAAAGTCCGAGCGGCGAAACGGAGAGCTCAGGGTCATTATCGTCGCATTCAGAAAGATTTTCCGATGACCAGGTTTGTGAGTTCTTGTCTTCAATTAATTAATCTTTAATTTTTTTTAATGTTTTTTCGAAATTTGCACTATATGTTGATTGTGTTGAATTAATCGAAACCAACCATCATACAGTTCTTTTACGTCATCTAAAGAACTTGAATCCGCAATTTTGATATCGACAACGAGTACTTGAATCCACAGTTTCTATTTTCAAAATCCTGAATTTTTTATTTTTTTAACCAACGAGGTTGTCGAGGATTGGAATTTCGTATCTTAACATGATTAAATAATCGGACTTTTTTATTTTTATTGTTTTTGTTAATTGTGTTTAAATTGCTTGAAGAATGAAATATCGGTTCACATGTGTAATCTAGGTTAAGTGGAGGAATTTGCGCTCGGTTGATGATTATTATCTTGAAAATCGACATGGACCACACTGTGTGTGTGTGTGTGTGGATATCAATTGTAGTTGGACCACAACTTGTCTTACTTTCTTTTTTCTATATCTTCTTGTCTGAAAAGCACTCTTTACAGCTAACACTATTGCATCTACACCTCAATGATTAACACTTTGTGCTAATTACTCTTTTTTCGTTTTAGCTCACTGGATTCTATCATTGTGCATGAATACGACTAAGACTTCTTGTGCATAATAAAGTCGATTAAACTTGTCTTCCACATGAAGCTCAAGAACAATGAAATGTCTAGTTACTTTACTATGTTCCTAAATTTCTGCTAATTCTTGTCTGAAAGTAGGAACTTCTTGAAATTCTTGAATAACTCAGATATCGGAATTCACGCCTTAAGACGATACAAAAAAAAAATAATAATAATTATCTTCCTATTTTTCGACCCCATCCCGTCCGCTCTAATGAAGGAAAGAATAGATCAAGAAACCCCGAAAACCCAAAAACCCAAAAACCCGAAACCCCACAACCCCGAAAACCTGAAACCCCGAAAACCCAAAAACCCAAAAACCCGAAACCCCGAAAATCCGAAAACCAAACCAGAAATCCGAAAACCCGAAAACCAAACCCGAAATCCGAAAACCTTAAAACTGGTTATGATTGGGGAAAAAAGGAAGAGAATTGATTGGATTATACGGCTATTCAAATGCTTGCTTCTTATAAGGCTAAATGAATGTTTTCGTTGCTGTTGTGCAGACTCCGTCGAATCACAATATTCATTCCCCTGAAGTTACATCTAAAGGTACACAAGGTGACGAACTTGACAGTAGTGTGAGGACTCTGTCAGAGAAAATATCTGCAAATTCCCCTGAAATTACATCGAAAGCTACACAAGGCGATGAATTTGACGATAGTGTAAGGGCTCTGTCGGAGAAACTGTCTAAAGCTCTTCTTAATATCCGCGCAAAGGAAGACTTGGTTAAGCAACATGCTAAAGTTGCAGAGGAAGCCGTCTCCGGTATCCTCTCTCTCTCTCTCTCTCTCTCTCTCTCTCTTTGTGTGTGTGTGTAAAATGCAAGATTATCTAATTAGGACCATGCTTGCATATAGAACAACTTGTTTCAAGGGCTTGTTTTGTAAGTGGAGACCATCTCTCTCTCTCTCTCTCTCTCTCTCTCTCTCTCTCTCTCTCTCTCTCTCTCTCTCTCACACACACACACACACACAGTAAATATACTTCTTTTATACAATTTAAAAAAAAAAATTGAATCTTGATCGTAAAAATATTTCTTACAGGATGGGAAAAGGCTGAGAATGAAGTGTTAGTAGTGAAGCAACAAAACGATTCCTTAATTCGTAAAAATTCGCTTCTCGAGGAACGTGTTATCCATCTTGACGGGGCCCTCAAGGAGTGTTTGAGGCAGCTTCGACAAGCGAGAGATTATCAAGAAGAAAATATTTGCGAAGCCGTTGCCAAAAAAAGCCTCGAATGGGAATCGAAGAGATCCGAACTCGAAGCTAAAATCGAAGCTGCAGAGAGAGAGAACTCGATTCTTAATCTCAAACTTCTCTCCAAATCCGAAGAATTAAAACTAAGTACCAACGAGAGAGATTTGAGCACTCATAGTGCTGAAACAGCTAGCAAACAGAATCTCGACAGCATAAGAAAAGTGTCCAAGCTTGAATCGGAATGTCGAAGGCTAAAAGCAGAGGCTTGTAGAGGGTCGGTTACTGCTTCGTCGGTTTACGTGGAATCTTTCGCCGACAGCCAATCGGATAACGACAGCTGTAAAATGAGTGGAGTTCTTGGAAGGAGTAGTCTTATTGTACCTTCGGTTGAGATTGATTTGATGGACGATTTTCTTGAAATGGAGAGGCTTGCTTCGCTACCCGATATAAATGGAGGAAGCAATAACGGTACGAGGGTCGAGTTTGGCCGAGATGAAATGGAAGCTATGATTAGTTTGACGAACAAACTGGAGGAAAATTTAGGGAAGGTAACTGCAGAGAAAGTTGGTTTGGAGATTGCTCTTAGCGAGTGCCGAGTTCGACTGAAGGCATCAAGAGATCAAATAAAGAAAACGGAGGTGGATTTGGCTGAGCTGAAAACGGAGGTGGCTTTGGCTAATGAAGCGAAGAGAGTTGTACAGAAAGAATTCGAGCGTACAAAAGTGAAGCTCGAGAATTCGAATAAGCTTTTGGATAATGCAAAGGCGAATCTTGGTCAATTTCAAGATCGGTTGACCAAATCAAATGAAGCGAAAATTAGAGTTGAGGTACAACTTGAGGAAGTTGAGGTACAACTTGAAGCAAAGGAACTCGAGTTAGAAGCCTTGCGCTCGAGCAATTGTACCTTAGAGAAAGAAATTGAGGAAGAAAAGAAAATTTTCTACGGAAATTGTTGGTAAGTGTGACGTATTGGAAGATGAAATATCAAGAATGAAATCTTCGACACAAGAAATTGAACTCGATTTAGAAAACTTGCGC